AATACACTTCCTGACATTACCCAGCCACATCTACTAACCCTCATCACATTCATGCCCTGGGTTCAAAAAGAAGTCTTTAGCCCTTTGGAAGGGACACATGTGGTCCAAGTTGCAGACACCTGGTCCTACTGGGCCTCTGATCAGCAGAGGCATTGGGGCCAAGGGTCTGGGCCAGGCCTAGATTGGCTAAAGGAGAGTCAAAGCCTGGTGGTTCTGAGGCTAGGACTGCAGTACAGGCAGGGTGAGGCTCCCTTTGTGTCACTAACCTCTGATCTGTTGCCTTGGAGTCCAAGCTTGGTACTATTTCCCTTGGGGGTCCAGGCAGGTGCCAAGAAATAGCTTGCACTGAGGCCTGTGGTGATTGCAAGACTTCCTTTTTTATTTTTTATTTTATTCATTACCTACTAGGCCTTAGTAGGTGGTGCTGCTCTCACTTCCTCAGAGATGGGGGAACCAGAGCACAGAGGAAGCGTATTTACACGTGTACTTGTCTTGCCAGCCATCATGCTGTGCCCTCAGGAGTACTGCCACCCAGCCCCTCTCTCTACAGGCCCCGAGGGAAAGGCTCTGAGCCTACCTCATCTACTGGGGTTTGCCTGCCAGGTAGCTGAGGGCATGAGCTACCTGGAAGAGCGTCGTGTTGTTCACCGGGACTTGGCAGCCAGGAACGTGCTGGTGGGTGATGACCTCACCTGCAAGGTGGCTGATTTCGGCCTGGCCAGGCTGCTCAAGGTGAGTGGGGTTCTAGGCTGCTAACCTCCGCAGAGGGAAAGGCACTACTCTGAATTCCTCACCGTTACCCCACATCCCCAGGATGACGTCTATTCACCAAGCAGTGGCTCCAAGATCCCTGTCAAGTGGACGGCACCTGAGGCAGCTAATTACCGAATCTTCTCCCCAAAGTCAGACGTCTGGTCCTTTGGCATCCTGCTGTATGAGGTCTTCACTTATGGCCAGTGTCCCTATGAAGGTGAGCCATCTGAGAGAAACCATGATTTATCAGAGCAAGTGTAGTCTGTGGGATGTAGCCTGGGGTCCACCCTAAGGGAGGAGATAGACCCTGCCCTGAGAGTCACTGACCCCCAAAGGTCAGTGGGCTGGAGTACCAGCACAGACTGGTCATGCAGAGGATAGAGTTGGGGGAATCTCTCTGGTGACCCCCACACAGAATCAAGGCAGCTGCTGCCTGGCCCCTCTTCTTGCTCTCCCCTTACCAGGAATGACCAACCATGAGACACTGCAGCAGATCAGTCGTGGGTACCGGCTGCCACGCCCAGCTGCCTGCCCAGCAGAGGTCTACATGCTTATGGTGGAGTGCTGGAAGGGCAGCCCTGAGGAGCGTCCCACCTTCGCCACACTGAGGGAGAAGATGAATGCCATACACAGGCGGCTCCATCCCAGCCTCACGTGACCAAGTCTCCAGCCCCACATGCAGCAGATACAGCAGCTGCTTCCTGAAGGGTGTCTCCCAAGGAAACACTTGTCACCAACACACATGGGAGATGCTGCACAACTGGGAATGGCAACAGCCTCAGAGAATCCAACCCTGGGGCTCCTTCACTGCATAGGCCAGTACCAGCATGGGCACACCAGATGGATGGACAGACACATGAGGACTGGGCCTGGTCATGAGCACTCACTTAGAAGTGAAGGCTGATGCCCTCCCCCTGGTGTGGTTTGAATCCCCAGTGTCTCCAAAGTGTTGGTGAAGGGTAGAAGAGGAGCTGTGAGGAAATGCTGGACAAAGGAGTACCAGTAGAGGCAGCAGTTTCCTCCCTACCCTCACCTCACCCCGGGCTCCCTCAGCGCCCTCCTACAATCAAGGATGAGAAGCCCAATTTCTCTGTCTCACTGTGGATTTGGTTAGTATCCAGGGCTAGGGCTCCCAAGCATATCTCACCAGTACAGGCTGTGCACTCCTAGGGGACAGCAGTTATCACCTGCCCACACCCACTGCACCCACAGGTACCGGCAAACTCTAGGTGCACAGAGTCTGCTTCAATAAACATGCCCCAGTGGATTCACCTACCAGCTTCCAGAATGAAGTGGTGGAGGCTCTTAAAGATTTGAACCACACCCCAGAGCCAGAGCTGCTTTACAATGTGGACCCCCATGACATTAAAGGTGCGGACTGCTGGAGCCAAGTGAACAGCCCTTTCCAGCTCCCTGGCCAAGGGTTGAAGCTTCAGTTTCAGAAAGGGAAGACTAGTTGTTTGGTAGTCAGCACGCCCAGGCCTTTCCCAGATGCAGAAGGGTAAATTTCAAGACTGTTTCTTTGGAAGGGCAGTGTTTAGGAGGCAGAATTTTCTGGTTGGCAGGACTAGGCAGATATAGGTAGGATACTGACAACCAGACAACCTACCATCTGGGGCAAAGCCCCCGTGGGTCACTTTTGTGTTTGACTGGAACACCTTGAGAAGCTGGGCCCTGAATCACTCAACACTTTAGGGCGCTAGGAGCAGTATATTGAGGATTGGGGGTGGGGAGCTGTGCTCAGGTATTCAAGATCATTTCACTCTCCTTGTAGCTGTAGAAGGCGTATAAGGCAGAAAGGCTGGCAGTCCTCTAGAAGGGATGGAATTTGGGGCCAGCTCTGCACAGAGGCCAATGATCACCAACCACATCTGTGGGTTGGCTGAGAGCTGGGAACTGGATCTCATATGAAGTAACCCCTTAAGTAACAAGGAGTTTGGGTCCTAGCCAGTCATGGGCTTTCTCATGCGGAAGCAGGGCTGGATGAGGGGAACTGAGGGCATGGATTGCACCATAGACAGAGGCTTAGTCACTATGGGACCCACATCAACCTGCCTGCAGGTTCAGAACAGAGTGCTCCTAGGAGCTGTGGAGGCCAGCCCGACAGAGTGTGCTGACATTGGTCTTTGTAGGTGAAAGGGACAGTGGGATTGAACTGAGGTATGGCCCTGCCTCTGCTTCAGCCTGAAGCTCTGACCTCTTGAGAGGAGGAATCTGGAACTGACAGTTGGCTGCTGTGGGCTCCTTGCTTTGCCAGCACACACAACAGCAGTGTGGGCCCAAGGGCTTGCAAGGCATAAGATGATAACATTCTGATGTTAAGTGGCTACCATGAGTCAAACTAGGAGGACACTAGAGACAGGATGGGGAGAAACATGGTGCTGGGCTTGTGGCCAAGCCATGGAAGCAGGTTTGGCTGGGTCCTGGCACATTCCTTTGTGTTTAGTCAGCCAAAGATGAACAGGTCTGGCCCTCCTGGGAGAGGCCAGGGACTTTTGAGCTACTTGATATCTTTCATAGAGCTGCCCACAAAAGTCTCATTCAGGGACATGTGACTGTCCGGGATACAACTTGGGTTCAAGACTTGGGGCTCTGGAGCAGACAAGGAAAGCAACTGTGGAGTTCTTGAGGCTGATCCATGCCAGTACCATCCTCCTTCCTTTCCTCTTTCTGTAATTCTCCTTCCCCACACCTTGTTGGGAACTGAGTTGGGCTTGGTAGGTGTGGAGCTACTAATAACAGCATGTTGCTGTTCTTAATCCTCAAAGGTGGCAGGTGAGTAGTGCTATATCTCTTCAATGAAAGAAAATTCAAGGCCTGACACAGTTCTCACTGGTAGAACATTTGTTTATCATGCATGTGAACCAGGATTTGATCCTTAGCATGAAGCAGCACCACCACCACCACACTCCCCACCCTACCCTCAAATTCAAATAGTACTTTCATAGTCTCATACAGCTTTTTTTCCCAGGTCACTCATCCTTACAGACTTGTCAGTTTCCCTTCGCATCCTTCTCTGTGGCTGTCTTCCAGATCCTTATGAATGAGAAAGGTGGTTAGGGCCACTCTGGAGAGAGGGAATCTTTGGAGATTTCAAGGTTTAGTGTGGGGCAGGGGAGCAGGCAGGAAGGCTGTAACAGTCACAAGCAGGGCTGTAGGAATTGGGGTAGCGTGGAGTAGAAAAGGGACATGGTGGGAGTTGGGGGAGGGGACACAGAGCAGAAGGGGAGCCTGAGAAAGAGGGAGGTGGGGTTGCAGAGGCCCTGGTGGCTGCCCTCTTGTGTCCTTATCTGGGAAGACAGGACAGTGTCTGCTTCTTGAGCTGCGGTCTATGGACTACAGACATGTTTGAAGATACCAGAGGGCCCGCTAAGCCAGCCCGTAACCCACATGGATGTTCATGCCTTCATATCCCTTGGCTCCTGTTGTCTCCCCAGATGTCAGGCTGTGGTCTAGCATGCTGTCCTGGGTGGCTTCTTCAGGATAGATGAGCATCTGAGTGTCTTCACTCACTTCAAGGAACCAGAGCTTTGTAGCTAGCAGGAGCTCATGGGTCTCACCCAGGTCCCTCCCACCCTTGTCTCCAACACAGGCCCTGCCTGATTCTCTTGATGCCATTCCTAGATTTAGTCCTGTCAGTGTCTGGTGGGTGGACACCTCCCCAGGGAGGTGGCTGTCAGGACTGTCAAGTCCTTCATAACTCTATTTGTGTGTGTGTAGAAGGGAAGTCTCCATTGGCAGAGATACCAGCCAGTGTAGGAGAGGGTTTTTGTTTGTTTTTCTGTAGAAGAAACAGCACCTTGCGCTCTACTCTGTTCCTGTGTGTTCTAGCAAACTGCCCACCATCCTTGAAATTTCCCTCCACCCACTCCCCTCTCCATCTTTTGGCTCCAAGACTCACACCCCAGGGGCTGAGGGTTCAGCTGATACCTGATGCTCACCATCTAGTGGGCTCTTCCATGTAGCCGTGACTGGGTCTTGTCAAGGGGTTGCTGAGATGTCAGACTTCCACTGAATATGTGTGATCATGGAGCATGGTTTGACCCTGAAGACAAAAGAACATACAGGAAGCAAAAGGGCATTTGGGGTGGAGTCAGGCTAGTTCATCTCCAATGGGTGCTGGGTGTGGCTGCTCTCCTATCATGAGGAAGTAGGTGTGATTAGCTTGCTGGGAAAAGCCCTGCCTACTCCCAGGAGTAAGTGTCCATAAGCAGCTCATAGCTGGCTCTGCCATTGAGCCTGCCGTGATGTCTTGGGACAAGACCCACCTGGGCCCTAAATACATGGGCCTCTGGGACTTCAAGGCACGAACAGACGACGAACTGAGCTTTCAGGCGGGAGACCTCCTGCATGTTACCAGGAAGGAGGACCAGTGGTGGTGGGCCACCCTGCTGGATGCAGCAGGCAAGGCCTTGGCTGAGGGCTATGTGCCCCACAATTACCTGGCAGAGAAGGAAACTGTGGAGTCTGAGCCGTGAGTGGCCCCGGAGAGCTGGCACAGGGGGAGATGGGGTGGACACTGGGCTGGACTGGGGAAGCCAGAGGGTGTGAGATCCTAGACATTCAGGTGGTCATACTGTGATCCTTGACATTCTGGTATACAGGGTTGCTGATGGGGCCCTACCTCTGTGTGACACTGGGGAGTGGGGCCTCTTGTTTTGAGCCACCCAAGACCACTTCCCATACATACGGTTCTGCTAGGACCCAGATAGGACAGAAGGGCCTAGTATGGGTTTTTAGAATGCTGGCTGCAAGAGAAAAGATCTGTGTGGGAATTCAAGAACTGTTGGGGGTGTGAAGTTTGCTCACTTTCCAAACAGCCGGAACCAGATATGCAACCTAGTTAAAGAAGAGGTGTGCTGGGGCACACCTACTTGTATCACCTGTTGGGGGTACATGTTGCAAACACAGTGGTATGTTTTTTCATGTCCACTCAAGTACCTTAGTCCATTGCTCCTGGCCACCCACATACCTAAGCCCCTAGAGTCTTCAAGGAGCTACAGTAGTACCTGGTGTTGGCATGGCCACAGCTACCCAAGTACCCAAGCTATTTAGCTCTGAACTAAGGCTGGGAAGGGTCCAGCAGGAGGGGTTTCTTGTTTTGCTCCTCAGACCTCCCCCCCCCACAACTCATTTCACAATGAGCACCTATTGTGCTCAATGGAAGATTATGAGCACACAAGGGGACAAGAAACAAGAGTAATAATGGTACCAAGGACAGTTCCGGAGACAGGGCTCATGATGGGAACAAGGTAGGCATGAGCGGTATATATAAAAGACTGAGAAAAGCCAGGTGGTGGCATATGCCTTTCGCACTCATGAGGTAAAGGTAGATGGATCTCTAAATTCAAGGGCAGCTTGTTCTACATAGTGAAGTCCTGTGGCGAGAGAGAGAGAGAGAGAGAGAGAGAGAGAGAGAGAGAGAGAGAGAGAGAGAGAGAGAGAGAGAGAATTACGTGGCCAACATAGTAAGAGCAAAAGCTCTGAGGTCCAGAGAATCTAATCCAGGTGAATAAGTCAGAGGAGGAGTGCAGCAGAGGAGGCAAAGTGGTCAGAGGGGTGAGTAGGCAAGATTCTTTAACTTCACAGGACCTCAGGAGGTGGGCTTCAAGGGCTTGAGCTGAATATTAGGCTCCTACGTTCCAACTGATCTTGAGGGTGTTGGAGACTCCAAGGGCAGAAATCACCTATGGAATTCCAAGGACTTCCACCTGTAGTTCAGTTCAGGCATGCCCCATCCCTCATGTTGGAAGCCAGCATGCACAAATGCTTTGGAATGGGAGAATAAATATGTGCCACTGTGTCTGTGCAAGCACATAAGGGTGTGTGTATGTACTTGTGCAAGTATGCAGATGTGATCGCATGGATGAGAATGCATGCCTGTGCACATAAGTGCACATGTGCAAATGGATATGTGATTTGCATGGTTATGAAAACACGTGTGAAAGTATAAGCCAGGAAGCAGCACTGGGGATTGCTGTTGAGATTTCTCTCTCCCCTATTTCTGGGCCAAGGTTGGGATCAGTAGCTCTGGACCCACAAGCTGTTATGAGACATCCACATGATGGAATTGCAGGCCTTGAGGGACAGACTGACCCACAGGTGGTCATCCTCCAGAGCAGGATGGTAGGCAGTACTTGCACATCTATCCCACTGCTGGGCCACTAGGACATGTTCTGGTGTCCAGAACCAGCCGTTTAGGTCTTTCAGGGCCCATGATGGACCAAAAGGTTGGGAGCAACATGAGAAACAGATTAGTTGGGGTTGGGAGTATGAGATAGGAGCTAGGGGTAGCTAGGACTCCAGACAGGCAAGGCAAAGGTTAGATTGTTGAGAAACCCAGTGGACGTGTGTCTGGGGTGAGGATCAATAGGCTGAGGCTGACTTTCTCCCCTGCAGGTGGTTCTTTGGTTGCATCTCTCGATTAGAGGCCAAGCACAGGCTGCAGGCTGAGGACAACTCAAAGGGTGCCTTCCTGGTCAGAGTCAGCCAGAAGCCAGGAGCAGACTATGTTCTCTCTGGTACTGCTTCTCAGACCTCCCCTCACCTATACTAGCTCTGAGACTTTCCTGACCGCATGGTGATCTGCCTTTCTTCTGATTGTGAAGTCTGGGACATCTTCCTCTTCCACTGGAAGCCCTGACCCCTCCCTGTGGTCCAGCTACCCACTTTCAGCCTTTGAGGCAGAGAGCCAGGCACTCCAGGTTGGGTTGTTTCCCTGTGCTTTCTGGCATATCCTATGTGTGTCATGGAAACCAAGGCTCCACAGGTGGTCCACTGTGCACACGGCCCAATAACCTAGGGGTGCAGGAAACAACAGCCATGGCTTATGACAGGAGGGCCAGGGAGCCTTGGGCGGGCAGTGTCCAGGGTGGGAGCAGGGGCAGGCAAAGTGGGGGACTTGCAAGGTAGGATGCCTGCTTATGCCTCCTTCCTCCGGCCATCCACCCCAGTGCGGGACTCTCAGGCCGTGCGACATTACAGGATCTGGAAGGACAATGTGGGCTGGCTGCACCTGAGTGAGGCAGTATCCTTCCCCAGCCTATCTGAGCTCGTGGACTACCATAAGACCCAGAGCCTGTCCCATGGCCTGCAACTGACCATGCCCTGCTGGAAGGTAGGCCCCTGGCTCCTCTGTGATGTAGTTGGGGTCAGACAGGTGGAGGACAGTGTTGAGGCAGGAGGGGCTCAGAAAAGGGTATTCCTCTTGGCTGTCACTCTTATTACACTGACTCACCAGAGCTCAGTTGTGCTCCCGCTAAATCCTGACCCATGGTAGGTCGGGTGACAAGGTTCAGTGGCCAATTGCCTGATGGGGCTTATTAACCTTGATGGATAAAGACAGCTACATTTTTATGCAGGATGCTCAGATACTACTATGCTGGGGGTAGCTCTAAATTTAAAGATAAATAGAGCCCTCATGTGGGATTCAGAGCAAACACTCCCTGAAGACAAGCTGAGTGACCTAACCACCACTCCTATCACCACCATCACCCTTTCTGTCTCTCCAGCACAAAACTGAGCCCTTGCCCCACTGGGATGACTGGGAGAGGCCCAGGGATGAGTTCACACTCTGTAAGAAGCTGGGAGCCGGCTACTTTGGGGAGGTCTTTGAAGGGCTCTGGAAAGGCCAGGTCCGTGTGGCTGTGAAGGTGATCTCTAGAGGTGAGCAGGCCCAGGCCCAACTCAGCTTGGTCACATGTTACTTCCCCACTTGTTCTACCAGTGGGCACTTCTAGTCTCACCCGGCTAGAGGTATCCCAACATACTTACTGGGTACCTACAGCATCATGGTGGGAGTAATTTACTTCAATTGTACCCATTTTTATTGAAACGTCACTGGAAATGTGAGTTTTACCTAGAATCCCAGCCTCACCCTCAGGTTTATACCTGATCCTTCAAGGATCAGGTCAGCCAAGACCTTGAAAATATCCAGATGGGAAGTTTTGACTTTGGCAGTTGTGACCAGGTGGGGCATAGGAGGACAGATTGACACATCAGGCTTGGGGCACTGAGGCCTTGGTGGTGGTGATTTAGTGCTGCAGCTTGGGGGCTAGCCTTTGTCTTCCTAGGCTGACCATATTTCCTGAGCTGCTGCAGGAGGCCTGGACCTCGTGCCTGAGGCACAGGTCAAAGACTATATTCACTGAGCCTGGTGTCTCTCAGAAAACCTCCTGCACCAGCACACCTTCCAGTCTGAGATCCAGGCCATGAAGAAACTGCGACACAAGCATATCCTGGCACTGTATGCCGTGGCATCTGCAGGGGACCCTGTCTACATCATCACAGAGCTCATGCCCAAGGGAAGCCTGCTGCAGCTATTACGGGGTAAGTGGCAAGCTCCACCCTCCTTTCCCTGAGGTGAAAGTGCTAGAGGCAGCAGGAGATACACATAAAAGAGCCAGACCAATAGGAACACAATACAAGCCTGGTACGTGAGCTAGCTTGCTGGAGCCCATTCCCTTTGGTGGGATACCATGCTCAGCCTTAATGCATGGGAGAAGGGCTTGGGCCTGCCCCAACTTATTGTACCAGACTTTGTTGACTCCTCATGGGAGCCCTTACCCGTGAGGAGTGGACTGGGGGTGGGCTTGGGGGGAGAGGAGGAGGATCAGAGTAGGGATGGGAGGGAGAACTGTGGTTGGAATGTAAAATGAAATTTAAAAGAACAAATAAATTATAAGGAAACAAACAAACAAAAGAGCCAGCAGACATGCAGATCCTACCCATCCCTGCCTGACCCACACAAAACAGCCAGGAGTCCCCAGATGAACTTGTTGCTTTCTTGTTTAAGAAGTTACTTATTTTTTTTTAAAGTGGTGGTTGGTGGGGTGGGGGCTGGAGAGATGGCTCAACAGTTAAGGGCACTTATTGTTCTTGTAAAGGACCAGGGTTCAGTTCCCAGCACTCACATGGTGGCGCACAACCATCCATAATTCTAGTTGAAGGGGATCTGACACCCTTTTTTGGCCTCTGTAGGCATCAGGCATGCATGTGATAGATACACAGACATACATGCAGGAAAAATACTCAGACACATAAACTATATGTAAAAACTAAAGATGGAAGCTGGGCATAGTGGTTCATGCCAGAGGCAGGCTGATCTCTGTGAGTTCGAGGCCAGTCTGATCTACAGAGTGAGTGCCAGGACAGTCAGGGCTACACAGAAAAACCCTGTCTCCAACCTCTGCCCCTCCTCCTATAAAGACCTAAAGATGGAGAACAACCAAGGAAAGACATACACATGTACACATGTGCACAAACCCACAGTAACAAGTACATGCACCACACCACTAATACCACACCCCTCAAACACACAAATTGAAAAACAAATGGCCGGCGAGATGACTCAGTGGGTAAAGTGCTTGCAAGGCAAGCATGAGGACCTGTGTTTGAATCTCCAGAACTAATGCACAGAAGCACACATCTGTTATCCCAAGGCTCCTACAGTGAGGTAGATGGGAGGAAAACAAAAACAAAAACCCTCCTTCACCATGTCAAAGATGAAGACTAACACCCAAGGTTGCCCCCTGACCTCCATACACATGTACACATACACATTATACATATACAACAAATAAAAAGCAAATGACTTAAAATATGACAAGTCTGCCAATTGCTGATCATAAAATTTGAAAAGCTATAGATAAGTACAGAAGAGAACACTCAACCACAATGTTTATACACACAGTTAACTGAGGTCACTTTACTATAGGCTCTGTGTAGCCTGCTAGTGACCTGCAACAGCCCACTAGCTTCTCTCTCTTCCTGAGACCTGCTGTCCAGCCATACCTATATGTCCTTATACCCAAACACATGTGAAACACTGAAATACACAAATACAGACATTCACACATGGCATAGATGTACCCTCACACATGTAGACACAACTCATCTCACCGACAAGAAGACACCACTGTCTGTTTTCTTCAACACAAAACCAGCCATCCCCACCAGCTGAGGTACTGTGCAAAGATGCTACCAACTTCATACAACAGGGAAAGGTAGGGTGGCAGTGTAGGACAGTCATGCCTGGGGGTATATGTATTAACATATCAAAAGCATTTAGAAGAGTAAAGTTGTGTAATTTTCGGCAGGAAGTGGTCTTCAGAGATCAAATGCATGCCCCTTGTAGGTGTAGCTGTTAGTATTCAGGCATCTGTACTGGCCTGTCCTCGGGGTTCTAACAGGATATGCCCTCGGCTGCAGCCACTAAGAACAACAACTGTGCATATTCACTATGTTCCCTTTTAAAAGGGCCCTGTCCACCTGCCATTCCTCTCTCTTATTCTCTTCCTCTCTCTCTGTCTGTTCCCCCCTTCTCCCCCCCCATTTCTTTCTACTGCTGCTCCCATCCCCAGAGGCTGGTCTCCCTCCTCCCCTTTTCCCTTTTTATGACCCCTTTTGCTAATAAAAATCCCTCTGTTTGAACCCTGTCTCATGGCATCTTTCTCTCCTACACTGCTTTTCTTAAATTACAACAGTAGCAGTTTCTGGATGGACAGCATCTAGAGAGTTCAGTGGTTACACTATGCCAAGTATATCTTGCAGCAACATCTTTGGCCTTAGATTGCTTTATAATTCCCAGAAGGTGTATGGGACAAAGAGCATGTGTGTGCTCTTTGTCTCTAGGTACTGCGGAAGGTCTAGGATTGTCCACTTTCCAAATAAGCCAGACCAGCTGCCCTTTGCTGGAGCCTTCATAGGCCCAGAAAATGAGGACTGAGCTCTGGCCAACTGACTCTGGCCTCTGATCACCCTGCAGACTCTGATGAGGAAGCCCTGCCTATTTCGGAGCTGGTGGACTTTGCATCACAGGTCGCTGAGGGCATGTGCTACCTGGAATCTCAGAATTACATCCACCGTGACCTAGCTGCTAGGAATGTCCTTGTTGCAGAGAACAATCTCTGCAAAGTGGGGGACTTCGGGCTGGCCAGGCTTGTCAAGGTAGGACTCTGGAAGAAGCCTGAAGCAGGATATGGGGTTTTATTTTCCAAGCCTCTAGCAGAACCCAGCCATGGGCAAGATGAGTTCTCGATAGGGCGTTGTTAATAGGCAAGGCAATGGCTTCATTCATATAGCCACAACCTTGTTTATGCCACATTGGGCCAGCTCTGGGTATCCTGGACATAACCATGTACACTGGTCTTCTGTCCCCACACATTGCAGCTCTCCCCTTGTGGTACTCTCCCCCTGCCAGAATCCCAGTGAACTGGCACTTTTGATACACAGGGCCTATCCATGATTCTAGCACCTTTGGCTGCAGTGGGGTGGAGTCAATAGGTCAGACAATAAGGCAGTGTGTTTACACCTGCCCACTTGGACCTTGGCATCCATGTCTGTCCATGCTACACAGGAAGGGTACAAGTGGCAGCTCCCTCTAGTGTCAGGGCCCCACCATGTCATCTTATTACAGGAAGACATCTACCTTTCCCATGACCACAACATCCCTTACAAATGGACAGCACCCGAGGCACTCTCCCGAGGACATTACTCCATCAAATCTGACGTCTGGTCTTTTGGGGTTCTCCTCCATGAAATTTTCAGCAGGGGGCAGATGCCCTACCCAGGTATTGTTCCAAGAATGTCCCCAACTGTTGATAGGCAGTGAGGTGGTGTGGGGGCAGGTCTTGGATGGCTGAGATGACAGGAGGCGCTTTCCATAGCCTCAACCAGCCCCCACCCCTGTTCCATTCTTTGAGCATCCAGGAGCACGCTGCTGAGATCACTCCAGGAGACACTGTCCTCAGGGAAGGCAACAGCCACAGTGTCCTGGAAAATGTCCAGAGCATGTGGTCGTCATTCTTGTTGGAGACAGCATCCAGGGAGGGGTCAAAGGCAGCTGGGTGTGGTGTCCAGGGATTGGAGGGTGGGCATCAGACTCTTAGCTCTCATTTCTCTTCTCCCATGGGCCACAGGCATGTCCAATCATGAGGCCTTCCTGAGGGTGGATGCCGGCTACCGCATGTCATGCCCCCTGGAATGCCCACCCAACATGTACAAGCTGATGCTCAGCTGTTGGAGCCAGGACCCCAAGCAGAGACCTTGCTTCAAAGAACTGTGTGAGAAACTCTCAGGCATCACTAGGTATGAGAACCTGGTCTGAGTTCCTTGGACGTGGCCAGGACCCACCAAAGAGCGCCTTCGTGATTATCCTGGACCTCCATTGAAGGTGTGCAACATCCTTCACCTTACCGGGATAGGAAACATATCAAACATACCTCAGATACTACGTGCTGTCAAGGAGCGAGTAAAGAAGGAGCCATAGTCCCTTCCCATCTATCCTCTTCCAGGAGGTGGTCCCCAAAATTCCAGGCAGCCATCCTGGCTTCTTCCTCTCATCTCCTGGGAAGGCTTCATGTGACAGAGAAGCCAAGAGTCTCAGCAACAAGCCTGTGGAGTTCTTTCCAGCACATCACTTTCATAGCATATCTGTCCTTGGTCACTCCTCTGCTCAATTGTCCACACACACCCCACCCCTTGGCACCTTGATTCTACAGGCTCTTGTGCCACAGAACAAGTTTTGGAGCTTCAGGTCCTTTCCCTTCAGAGATAACTTTCTGTCCTGAGCTCCTGAGACAGAACACTCTCAGAAAAGACCACTGCCTTCATCTACCACTCTCCCTTTCCTGTTTGGACCTGAGGCTTTCCAGATGGTTCTGGTCCAAGCCTGCTTTCCCCATGTGTCTCCAGTGTTCTTGAACACATGCTTGATCCCTTAAGCCCAGCCAAACTATCTGCTCTCCATGCCAGCTCCTTATATACTAGGACATCAGGGCCCCAGTTCTGAGGGGTGAGAGCACCCCTAAAAGCTGAGGCTGTCTTACTAGAAGTTGGCATAACCCTCTGACCACATATCTACCAACTCTTTTCATACTGACCTCCCAAGATGGGTGAACATGCCCCAACCTCCCTTGAGGAAACGTCCCCTACGTGTCCAAGAAGCGACGCTGTCTATCTGTACTGCTTCCTGTAAAGTCAAGCTGTCTTTTAAAAATATAGTTCTCAGGGACATAACTGTCACTAGATAAGGAGAACACAGAGAAACATTTGGAAACAGGGCAAATGAAAACTCTTAGAACTAAGTCTTTTGCATAGATATTAGTCAAAAATTTTCTCTAAGTAACTTAACCTTTCATTTTTGTCAAGAACAGAATTTGGGCCAGCCAGGCTTGGTGGCACACATCTTTAATCCCAGCACTTGAGAGGTAGAAGTAGGCAGATCTCTGTGAGTCCAAGGCCAGCCTGGTCTACACAATCAGTTTCTGGACAGCCAGAGCTACATAGAGAGATCCTGTCCCAAACAAAACAATACAACCCCCCAAACCTATAAAAACAACAATAAAAAATCAAAATAAAGATGAGTGCTCATTAAATATCCCTAAAACCTCAGAAATAGAAGGTCAAATGTTAAGATTATGATTTAGAATAATCTTTAAGGGTGTTGGTAAAATTTAAAAAAGGTATGTTTTCAGACGTGCCAACCCTGAATACAAACAGCTAGACCAGTGGTTCTCAACTTTCCTAATGCTTTCCTCACTCATATTGTGAACCCCAACCATAAATTATTTTCGTTGCTATTTCATAAGTATAACTTGGTTTCTCTTATGAATCATAATTTAGATATTTTTGGAGATAGATTTGACAAGGGGGTCACAACCCACATGTTGAGAATCACTGAACTAGGTTCTTTATTCTTTCCAGGGTTTAAACAAGTTTGTTGATTTTACTGGGTATTTAAAATTCTGAAACCAGAAATGGAACCCAAGAGCAGCATACAGAAGAAGGACATGAGGTGGGGGGTGGGGTGGTCTTTGTTTCTGTGGTGTTGGTGACATTTGCTTGATTTGTCAACAACTTTGTGGTGACACCTTGTGAAACCTTCATGACCATAGCTGTTGAGTGAATGGGAATGTAAGTCGGGCAAAAATTTGAATAAACTTTTCAACAGTGAAAGTCATCTTACAGCCTTAAGTTCGTTCAGGTTTGAGAAATTTAGTTATTAATTCAGCATTGCAGTAATTCCTAAGGAAGCATAAACTTAAGCTGATCTTCTTGTGGACTCGTGATTTTACACAGAATGGGGAATTAGGTGTGCTTGGGTCTGCAGGAAGTATGAGAGCCTGTGTGATTTGAAGGACATGCTGCTACAGTGCCTGCCAGGGTTTTTCTTCAGTGGCATGCTGGCAGTCACAGTTCATGTGTGCTTACTTCCCAGTTTGCACTAGAACTGGGGGACCTAAGAGTTAAGAATGGTAATGCATGTAATTAGAACCACTAGAAATAACAAGAAAAACCACGTGTGTGCAAAGCAGACAGGGAAAACTGCATTTGTGGTAAAGCTGTCATTCATAGAGGAAGATAATCATTGATTGTTCCCGATGATGAAAAAGAAAAATAGGGAGAAAAAGCGGGTGGATCTTTCTCCCCTATTTTTGGAGACAGGGTTCTCAGTGCAACCCTGGCAGTTGTGGAGCTCACTCCACAAATCAGGCTAGATCCACCTGCCTCAGAGTGCTGGGATTAAAGGCATACACTCCCACATCCAGCTTGTTGATACTTCTTAGATACTCAAAAGGCCTGGTGGAATGGAATTTTATCTCATGTTGTCATAGCTAAGGACTAAAAGGATTTAGAGTTTGTTGTTGCTTTGTTTTTGAGACAGGGTTTCTCTCTGTAGCTTTGGAGCCTGTCCTGGCACTCACCAGGCTGGCCTCCAACTCACATAGATCCACCTGCCTCTGCCTCCCAAGTGTTGGGATCAAAGGTGTGCACCACTACCACCCAGCTATTTAGTTATTTTAAATTAGCTTAGGGGCTGGAGCTGTAGCTCAGTTGGTAAGAGTACTTGCCTAATAAGCATAAAGTCTTGGGTTCCATCCACAGCACTGAATAACCAGGCATGGTGATAGACACCTGAAATCCTAGTATCTTGGGTGTGGAAGCAGGAAGGTCATCCTCTCCAATGTGGCAAGTTTAAGACCAACTTGGGGCTACACAAGACCATGTCTTAAACATCCTCCCACCCTTAAAGAAGGAATAATTTAGTAATAATATAGATATAAAACTAGTTTAGCGGGGGCTGGAGAGATGGCTTAGCGGTTAAGAACACTGACTGTTCTTCCAAAGTCCTGAGTTCAATTCCCAGCAACCATATGGTGGCTGACAACCACCTTGAATGAGATCTGGTGCCCTCTGCTGGCATGTAGGCAGAAGACTGTATAGACTGTATAAGTAATAAAAAAAAAGTTTAGTATTATGAAAGATGTCTATTTACAAGTTTCAAAATCTTGCAATCTTAAATGAGTTTAACTCAGGTAACCAGCCTAGGGTTTGTGTTCAATCTCATGTTTCCTTCATGATGTGTGTGACTCAGTCTTTGATTATTGAAGGACAAGTTTTGCTCAAACACATAACCTAGATTTCCTTTAAACATCTTATTAGTTTGTTTGAATAGATAACTAAGATCATACCTAATCGAGTGCTTGACAATTCTGAAACCAACTCTAAGTTCAATTCTCCTAACTTTAAGTCAACTTTTAAGTTTCCAGAGGGGGCCTTGCAACCTCAGGATCTCTCTTTTATAAAAAGAGAGCAATTTTAAACTAGGTTATGGGAATCTTTGTCAAATATGAAAACATGAATCCTTCTTCAGGTTGTATTTGTTACAGGTGTTACTCATACGAGCTGTAGAAAATTCTTGAAAATCTGGTATATCCAGGTATAATTAGATATAATTCTATTATACTTAAACATGTGTCACAGAAAATTAACAGCTCCTTAGCTGTGGCTTCCTTTCACAAATGTTTACTTTGACTCTTGGAGATGAGAAGTGTCTATCAACTCAGTCTTAAACTACTTCTTCCAGGGTGTGTACATTGCACAGGTGTCCATATTGTCTTAGAATTGCTGTCTTAGGGCTTCTACATTTTGTCATGAAACTGGTGGGCTCACTGCCATCCCCAGGTAAGTCACAACAAGAACTCATTGTCTGAGTGACCTGATATTTTACATTTTAAAAAGCAACTTTAAATTTTGCTGGTTCTGAAGTTTTTATTTAAGGAAGTCTTTCCCTTTTCTATATCTTACTTTGTGAAAGATGAAATATGTGTCTTTCTCCTTCCTGACTTTTCCAGACTCTATAATGTATACCCTGCACTTTTGTGTGAAGGTTGGAGGACAATTTCCTCAGGTGTCATTTTAAGAGATGGCTAACTAATCCCCAGAATCTGCACCCTTGGTACTGAGACAACAAGCACCACCACATCTAAGGTCAAGCTTAGGTATTCACACTTGCAGGGTTAGCCTTTATCGACTGAGCTATTTCCTCAGCTCTAGGAAGACTGAATAACTTTGGTAACTAAGGGTGACTTCACGGTAGCAAGGCCTTATGGGAAGAACTGGCCTGGCTTCTTGAATATATGGCTGCCTCACTATGACCAAGTGTGACTTTAGAAGCCACAGGGACTTTTTGAAGAGGCAGCTACTCAAACTCACAGGTACTGCTGGCAAAAGGCTTGTGGTACAGCGTGGATGTGGCTGCCTGGCTTGAACACACTTTCAAAGTCTAACTTGAGATTCTGAGAACAAAGTCCTGGTGTCACAAACACAGGGGCCTGTCAACACTGTTTCCTTGTGTGGGGTAAACCAACAGACCACCTGTAAGCAGATCTGCCCTACTTTGCCTGAAACCGTAGGGGGTTATTCCTGAAGCTACCATGTACCCAGCACCAGGCCCATCTCTTATGATGTTTCACCATCCAAGATGCAGAGTGGATCCCAAATTCTTTCCTTTTCTCTCAGGATCACTCTTTATACTGCTATTCCCAACTGTTTTCTAACCCTTCTGCAGTCACTAAAATAGTCACTTCCCAGCTCTGCCGGCTGCAGCTGTATGTACAACCTGACAGGACTTCAGAGAAACCACAACTCGCAGATGCGAAACCCTGTGACTGTGGAACAATGCTACCTCCTGCCCAGAGCTGTGGGCTGCCCCCAGCTTCCAGCTCTGACAATGAGCAGCTGAAATCAGCAGTTCTGTGGCATGGTCTGGACCCTGCAGCCTCAGTGGAACACATTTCCTGTTCTGAGACCAAAGGTGGGGAGAGTCCTCCTACAACTTGCTCAGGAGTAAGGGCAGCACCCCACAAGCCACCTGGACATCCCGAGGGCAGGCAGGAGGGAGGCACAGGCCTCAGTTCCCTAGGGAGAATGCACTGTTTATGGCAGAAGGGTGAGGCAGCAGGAAGGCCTGCTGTGCCATACCTCAGACTCCTTCCCTTGCTGGCTTAAGCCACCCTCCATGGTTCCTACAGCCTCTTACTCTGATGCTAGGCTACTTGTGGCTAGAATTCTCTCTCAGTCTGTGCCAGCGTCTCCAACCTTGGGGAGCCACCCATGCAGCAAAGTCATCCACCAGGTTCCTTTATAGGCACAGGGTCCCGTGTCCCCCCTACCTCCTCCGGCTGAGAGCTCCCAAACTCAGCCAGAGGCCCAGTCTGGACTGTCTACCTAGTGGCTAACTGCTACCCTAAGCTCTCCAGAAACAGAGGTACCCCAGCTTCTTTGGCCAGGCCCACTTGAGAGAGGACATCTCACTAGATCTGGGGATATCACTGGGAAGGGTCTCAAAGGAGCTGTCAGGAAGACCTGGTAACAGAGCAAGCACCCAGCAAGAAACGCTGCTCAGTAAGGTCTCAAACACACCATGGAGGGCTGCTGGGAGTTTATTTTCGGCTTGGTGCAAGGCACAGTTATGGGGTCAGGAAAGCTCAGTGCTGTGAACCAAGGGGGGGGCTCTCTCTAGCTCCTGCTGGTGTCTGTTGCTGGCTGCAGTCTTCCTAGTTTACAGGGTGGGGTGGATGGGTGGGACTCTGGCCTAGCACTGCTGAAGTCGCATTTGCTGTGGTTCTGCTAGGTCAGGACGGGGCGCTCGTGTTGGTCTGGTCAGGATGGATGACTGGCTGCTGCTGCTTCATGGTTTCAGGAGCCAGGTCACCGGTGGTCGGGCTTCTGGAGGCCTGCAGGGATTCTGCCGAGCTGCAGAGAGAGGGCAAGTCAGTGGGTCAGAAGCAGGTTTAATTGGGACCACTCCCACAACCTTATGGAAGATGGACTCACTGCTCAGGAGACTCCAACACTGTGGTCATGAATGGGAGGGTGGACTTCCCGAAAAAAAAGCTGGTCCACCAGTGGCCAGGGTCGGCCTTAGGGAGACCTGAGAGGTGCAAAGGGGGGGTCAGGATGTTGCTACCCTGTCCCTCTCCACGTTCCTCCCACCTCAGGATGTGAACTTTGCCCTTACGCTAGCTGGTTCTGCACTCACCCGGGGGGTGGGGCACGGCGTCCCCGGGGTACTCTGCACTTCCGCAGGAACTGTTGTTGGACGAGGAGGAGCCCAGGCGTCCTGGGGAGGGGAGGCTGGTCAGCCACAGGGCACTGGATCAGCTCTGGGCGGGGCTGGCGAGGGGCTACTTACGCCGATAGTAGTCATGGGTAGCCACCAGCGAGCCGCTAGAAGGGATGGCTGCCATACTTCAGGACCCGCGCGCTCTGGAGACCTGAGCAAAACGGGGGGGCTGGTCACCGCACAGCGAAGTGGGTTCCGAATAGGGCCCTCGCCCTGTCAGTCTCCGGGTTTCCGGGTGGTTTCAACCAGCTCGGACCGGCTGCGCATTGAGACAAAGGCGCTTTGTATGCGCCCGGCCCCTAGAAGGCGCGCGCCTCCCCCAGCCGGCTGCCGCCACCTCCACTACTACCGCCGCCCTCACCTCGGCGGCGACCCCTCCTCGCGGACCTCGGCGCAGGATCACGGGTGGTAATGCGTGGGGCACTAAGCCTCGGAACCCATTGGCAGGGATAGCCCAAGGGAGCCCTCAACGCTGCAACCCGTAAGCTATGCGCACGCGCGTACCTACTCTCTAGCCTGCACGGGCCACAACAGACTCGTCATGGTGAGGCGGAGCAAGCAGCAAGGCCCCGCCTCCATCACGGAGGCCCCATCCTTGAGATCTTTGATCCCTCCTGAGCCCTAGCACGATGAGGTCCCGCCCTTCCCTATTAGACTTCCCGGGAGCCTAGCGAGGATCCTCCCCACCTTCTGCAATGCTGGGTTCGCCAGGTTCCACCTTGGCCCAAACCGCCTTGATCAAACATCAGTGGTCCACCTCTAGGCAAAGTCCAGGTCTGCTGCCTTTTTCCTCCTTGTTCGGACTGGGAGCATCTCGCCCTAAATAGAAGTCGTTAAAAAATTTCCTGCGGGACCTGTGTGCCCTCTGTCTGTGCCATCCCCTGGGATGTGGCCTCATGTAGCCCAGCCTGTCTATTCCCCTTTACTTACTGCTGTCTGCTGCCTGTGCCGGTCCCTGCAGGCTGTGTTTTCCAAGTGCCTCACTTCGACTCTTGGCAGAGTGGGTCTGTCTAACTCACATAAGTAAGCACAAGGGGCAGCTGTGTATCGTCGTGTTCCCCCCGGTCCCCCCGCGCGCGTATCTGCATCGCAATCCCCGTTTTCTACCGCACTGGATAGTGCCTGGAGCCCCTAAGCGGCCCTTCAGGGACTAGCCTGTGTTTCTTCCAAGTCGTGGTTCTCACTCACGTTCACTAGTCCCAGCCTGTGTTCTGTCGCCTGGAGAACAGTGATGGGAGATAAGATACAGAAATGCTTGGGGCCGGGGAGAACCGCGAACAGACGCAGTCTCCAGTTGCTAGCATCAGGCAGAGGCCTGCACTATTATTGCACGATTGGTCAGAGTCCTGTGTTTGGGAGCTCAAGGGCTGGCCAGCAATCTCTGGCCTCCCTTCCGTTCCCAGGCAGTCAGTTTTCTGCCAGACACCCATGGAGACTGGGAGGACCGTGAGCCACCTTTGCACAGCATGCTTCTCCTATAACCAGAGATGCTAAACTTGCCTTCATGGGGGTTCAGGGAGAACCTGGACTAGTAGGACCCAAGGAATGCTCTCGTGTCCCCGAGATCTCAAGGAGGCTTTGGCCGAGACCCTTTGCTTGGATTTGTTGAGACCCACTGTGTGCAAACATTGAGCTAGGCATGGGAAACCACACAAGAAGTGACCCAGTAGGGATGCTGGTTTAGAGGAAATAGGGATAAGGGTAAGTTGAGGTATAATGAAGTGGGGGCGGGGGGGGGGGGCAGCTGACATTACAGCAGCAGAAGTGGGAATGACCACTGATAAGGCAGATTGGCCAGTTCAGGTGACATCAGGAGGGTGAGACTTCTGCCCAAACCAGGCTTACTTCATGGCTTCAGCCTCTGTGACTTACCCTGGACTGCCCCGACAAGTGTGTGGGCATCTTCAATGGTTATTAGCTGTTTCTTCTAGTGAAGCATTCCCTCTGGAAAGGAAATAAGGAATCGTTCAAGAAAACAACAGAGTTGCTGGATGTGGAATGGTGCTGGTTGTGACTCACACCTTTCTTTTCTTTTCTTTTCTTTTCTTTTCTTTTCTTTTCTTTTCTTTTCTTTTCTTTTCTTTTCTTTTCTTTTCTTTTCTTTTCTTTTCTTTTCTTTTCTTTTCTTTTCTTTTCTTTTCTTTTCTTTTCTTTTCTTTTCTGCCTCCAGAGTGCTGGGATTAAAGGCATGCGCCACCAACACCTGGCATGACTCATACCTTTAATGCCTGCACTCAAGAGGCAGGGACAGAGTCAGAGGCAGTCAGATCTCTGTGAGTTCGAGGCCAACCTGGTCTACAGAGGCAGTTCCAGGACAGCCAAGGCTACACAAAGAAACCCTGTCTTGAAAAACCAGAACCAAGGGCTGGAGAAATGGCTCAGAGGTTAAGAGCACTGGATGCTCTTCACGAAGTCCTGAATTCAATTCCCAGCAATCACATGTTGGCTCACAACCATCTGTAATGAGATCTGGTGCCCTCTTCTGACATGCAGACAGAACACTGTATACATAATAAATAAATTTTAAAAGCAAAACAGCCGGGCGGTGGTGGTGCACGCCTTTAATCCCAGCACTCAGGAGGCAGAGGCAGGAGGATCTCTGTGAGTTCGAGACCAGCCTGGTCTATAAGAGCTAGTTCCAGGACAGCCTCCAAAGCCACAGGGAAACCTTGTCTTGAAAAACCAAAACAAAACCAAAACAAAACAAAGAATACAAGAGAACTGTTAGAGGAACAGTAAACAGAGATTTACCAATTCTCAACACACTCTTCTCTCCAGGTTATATAAAGAGTAAACAATTGCTGGAGACAAGGAGACTCTTCAGCAGAGTTGCCTACAAGTGGGGAACTCAAGTCATGCAGCTTTCATGTCTTGTCACCCAGGCTGATGTGAGCCTTTGGTGATGCAGCTGCCTGAGTCACCTACACTTTTGGGACTAACCCCTCATCCATTGTAATAGTAACATTCCTGCTGCCATGATGTCCCACCACGACTGCACACTTCTTTAAGTCGCTTTTGTCATGTAGTTTGTCATAACGATGATAAACTATTAAAATGGATGAGCAAAGCATTCCTGGGTGGCCCCAGGGGTAGGAGAAAACCACGAGGTGTACCCAGAGGTGGGGGCTTTTGATGCCCTGGGGAGTGGAGCTGCCAATGGCAGGCTTTTTAGGGGCGGAGTCTGGACTGAAGCAACTCCAGGGGAGGGGCCTGAGGTTTGGCACCCTGAGGGTGGGTTTGGAACTGGGCTCCCAAACATCCCCACCTCTTTGGATATATAGAGCTTCCATCTAAACAATGTCTGCAGTTAGGAAACAGAGAAAGAGAAATGCTCAGCTCACTCTCGTCCTTTTTGGTTTATTCGACAACACAGCCCATGTTAATAGTACTGTCCACATTTAGGGAATGTCTTCCCGACTCAGCTTCAATCTAGAAACTCCCTCACAGATGTGCTCAAAGGTTTGTTTCCATGGTGATTCGAAATTCCATCAAGTTAACAGTTAGGAGTAATCACCACGCCCATGCTTTGTCAGTAATTCTGATAAACTCATTGGTTCGCAAGCTAGACTTGGAACTTTCTCTTTGGTCCGTCATTGATGTCCTATCTGGGGTGAACACATGTTTGTTCATGTGCCCCGGGAAAAGCCATGCGACACCTGTGTGGTTCAGGCCAAGGCTAGAGAGACCAGGCAGAAGGAAAGGACTGCTAGGACCCAACTGCAAAGAACTTTGGAAGAGGTTCTCATACACCCTGCTAAGACCTGAGGTAGGGTCAGAGATTGGACTCACGATGCTTATTTATCTGCCCTGATTTGGGGCCATGGTGTTTACTCAGCAGGGACACAGAAGGGTCACCTTTAAGGGTCCAGGAAATGTACACAGTACTATCCCAGAGTAGGACTGAAGTGGAGGACAGTCAGGGACTTAGGGTTTCCATGGGGGGGAACAGGGCTGCCAGGGCTTTTCAAAGTGCCTCTAGCCTTGTGACCTGTTTCCAGGATTGGATTATCTCTCTGTTCATCGAATGGATCCTGATGTTCACTGTGCACTATGGGAGGTCAGCATGCAGAGACGCATTCACTGAAGCAACAGCTGCTGCCCTTGGCACCTCAGGAAGTGGAAGTTGAGTAAGACCAGCCTCAACACCTGCCCAGCATAGTAAAAGGTCCTGCGACAGCAGGAACTATAGTATGTTATTGGTCCCTTAAGGAGGTTGGAGCCAGGTCCCAAACCCAGGTCCTGGTGGGTGCACAATGCTGCCTTGACTACTTCCCATAGGAAACAGGGAATGTGTGTGGCTTGTGGTCACTGACTGAGCCTCACAGCCTGTGTTGTCCTGTCCTGGGGATGTGCAGCCTCTCTGAATGTGCTTAGTGGGACTAAGGTTGTGTCCCACCTGGGGCTTTTCTGGATGTCTCAGGGCTGGTCTGTTTGGAGGTGCAGTCTTCTCCTGGGTTGGACAGGTTAAGACTGTAGAAGTGCTATGCTCACTTCTAGCAGGAAGACGCTCCCCCTATAGTATCCTCTTGGGAGCAGAGTTTGAGGTCCAATGTGTAGATTGTGGGTCAGCACCTGGGAAAGGAGAGAGAAGGGACCATGAGAATGTCCCGCATTGGGCCAAGCTAGCTGCCTCGTTTGGATGGATGTGATTGGGCAAGGATTCAGTGGGGAGGCTAACAGTGGAGGCCATATGCTGATTATCCCCAGCTGGGCAATAGCTTCTGTCTCTCCCAGGCTACCCTTGGCTGTGCTCTGGGTCTGCCTAATGATCCCACCTCATTTCCCTATCAGCATCTGTAGTAGACTCTGAAGTGAATCTCTTTCATCTGTCTGTCTCTATGTGTATGTGTCTGTCCCTCTCCTTTCCTCACTCTCTCCCTGATTCCCCCTTCCTTCCCTACCTCCTTTCTTTGCCATCCAAGATGAGCTCTCACTCTGCTATACAGGCTGGCTTCAGACCTTTGGGCTCAAGTGTTCCTCCTGCTTCAGCCTCTCAAGTGCAGAGGTCCCAGGCATGTACCGCTGTGCCAGCTTTGGGATATTTTTTCTTATGAATATGGAATGCTTCATGAATTTGCATGGCATCCTTGCGCAGGGGCCATGTTAATCTCTGTATCATTCCAATTTCAGTATATGTGCTGCCAAAGGGAGCATGGGATATTCTTTCTTTCTTTCTTTCTTTCTTTCTTTCTTTCTTTCTTTCTTTCTTTCTTTGAGACAGGGTTTCTCTGTGGCTTTGGAGGTTGTCCTGGAACTAGCTCTTGTAGACCAGGCTGGTCTCGAACTCACAGAGATCCACCTGCCTCTGCCTCCCAAGTGCTGGGATTAAAGGCGTGTGCCACCACCGCCCGGCCGGGATATTCTTTCTTTAAAGTGGAAAAATACTATCTGGTGAGATGGTTTAGCAGGTAAAGTCACTTGTCTTGAAAAGTTAGTGACCTGAGTTAGGTCCTTGGAACCCTTATGAAGGTGGGTGGAGAGAACCAACTCCACAAAATTGTCCTCTGACCTCTACACATGCTAGTCAGTCCCTAGACCTTTCTTATCTCCTCTGAGGTGTCTAGTAAATCTGGCTACACCACTGTTAAGCTCCAGCTGCTGGCCTGTCCCGGGGGCATGGCTCATGTTGGAAAACCAGAGTTAGGATCCCTGAAGTGTGGCTTCTCACTGCTGTCTGATCTGGACAGAAGCTGACTTGCGACTCAGCTTCTCCTATGAATTACCACAGGGAGGGTGGATGACAGCCAACTAAAAAGGATGGGATCAGAGTAAAGTGAAATGTAATTAATGTAGATCCCAACGGAGTTAGAGCTAGTTTGATGAGCAGATGGTTTATTAGGAAAGTACTCACGCCACGGAGTCCGTCCTGTACAACCAGGTGGGTCAGGGAACAGAGAGAGCTGCATGCGTGGACCCTCATATTTAAAGTCTTGCTACGTCACTCTGACCACGTCCAAATGTGCATGGTCAGCGTCACTTGTGCCAGCCCTCAAGTGGGCGTGGATAGCTTCACCTGGGCCATCAGTCTAGCAGGCGTGGCCAGCCTTTCTCTGCTTGGTAGATTTTGAAGGCCCCAGGATCTGCAAGGTCTAGGTTAGGATATAGGAGAATGGAAAGGATATGAATTTTGGTCTCTAGCTATAGGAAACAAGGACAGAAGACTATGTGTATCTGAGTCCACCACGGGCATGCATAGAGGCCAGTTGGGTCCAGAATGCTGCTTGGATGCTGTCTTTGTACAGATGACACTGATGGGCACATATCAGATGGCCCAGGTGAATGATGACCAAGATTTCACACTGAGTGAAAGGCTGGTGCTCAGAGTCTGCATTGTAATGCCTACCTACCTGCCACTCCTGAGTCTTATCTCACTCTCAGATGGGTGCATAGGATGGATTACTCTTGAGCAATGGGGATGGGACCTGCGTTTGCTGCCTGTACTCTGCTCTAGCCACAGGCATCTGGGATAAAAGTAGGAGTTTTGCCAAAGATTGAGACAGAATCAGAGTCCTCAGGACTCCTTTACTCTACTCTTGGGCAATGCTGTTTTGCAATGGCCCAGCCCCAAACCCTTTGCTGATGGCAGAACCTTGTACCATCTAGATGGTGTCACTATGCAGAAGAAAATAAAATGACTAGTGTTTAATAAAGCTTTACAATATAGGCAGTAGTTTATGTGGCCAGCAACTTTTTATTCCCCCAAGTTCCTTTCTGCAAAATGCGAAAGTATCTTATTCATGGGATGGGCTATCTTGAGGTTAGGAAGTTTCCTGTAAATGCTACAATCTGTGCCTGGCACATGATATGTGCTCAATAAAAGCTAGATATTGGGTGGGGAAGTAGCTCAGTGTAGGAGTGCTTGCCCAAGGCCCTGGGTTCCATCGGTCCCCTGTTCCATCTCTAAAAATACACACACACACACACACACACACACACACACACACACACACACACACACGGCATATACTTGTAATTATAATACTCAGGAATTAGAGGCAGGAGAATCAAAGTGTCCAGAATACACAGTGAGATCCTGTCTTAAAGAACAAAATGAGGCAATGTTTTGTCTTCATTTTTCATTTGCTGGTTAAGTGAAGTATACAGGATAATGCACCTGTCCATCACTAGGTGCTTATTAGCTAAGTAGAATTGGCCTTAAGTAGAATAGAATACAGGCAGCAATGGCAGGTCCCACCCCCATTACTGAACATTGACCAAGCCTTTCACAAGCCACCACCATCAACTGTTTGTGAGAAAGGGACAAGGCTCATGAGTGCCAGGTGGCAGGCAGGCATTACAAGGCAAACTTGGGCCTTTCCTTTTCCACCCTTCATGAAACCTTACCCATCCACTTGGGCCCTGTGGATAAGTGCATAAAATATATCCAATACTGAAATCACAAAATTTAATCTGAAGCTCCACAACTTCCCTTCTGAGTGCATTTTATTTTCTTATTGTTTTTTAAAATTTTTTCTACACAAGGTTTCTCTATGTAGTCTTGTCTATCCTGGAACTTGCTCTATAGACCAGGCTGGCCTTGATCTATTTACCTTTACCTCCTGAGTGCTGGGATTAAAGGCATGCACCACTACCACCCTACACCAAATGCACTTTCCAACTGTATAGAAATTCACTGAGTTATATAGAAATTGAATTTGGTTAACTCTGGTGTGTGATGCTTTAATTTATTTGCAAAGTTTTTCAACAATAAAGTTTATAAAGTAAAAGTAAATAGTACAGAGTGACACTAAAGATTTTCAGGGGCCGAGGAGATGATTCTGTGAATGAAGTATTTTCAACATAAGCCTGAGGACAAGAGTTTGGATTTCTAGGACCCACATAATGCAAGTGAGTGTAGTAGCCAGACTGTAATTGCAGGAGGTGGAAACAGTATCCTTAGAACAAGCTGGCTGGCTACACTTGAATGGGAAAACTCTGGTTTTAAGTGAGAGACTCTGCTTCAAAACATAATGTGGGAATCAAGGAAGACATCTACATCAACCTCTGGATTTTCAGACACATTCATAGATAGCACTCATGTGTGCATGCACACACACACACCTACACCTGTGCCCACACAATGCTAACATGCATTCGTGTGTGTGTGTGTGTGTGTGTGTGTGTGTGTGTGTGTGTTTGTCTTAGGTAAAGTTTCTATTGCTGTGAAGAGACACCATTGTTGTTGTTGGAAGGAAGGTTACACCATACAATAGGACTCACATGGGATGTTTATTGTGGGGAGGGGGAGCAGAAGTGGCCTCTGGGGGCTAGAGCTATGGAAGAAAGAGAGCATGAGGTGGGAGGGGCATGCACACAGGGAGTCGCTGGAGCTGATGACATATTCTGTCAGGTCCCCAAGAGCAGGCCAGTGCAAATGCCTGAATACTAACAACTATGGCAACTCTTATGAAGGAAAACATTTAATTGTGATGACTTACTTACAGTTCAGAGGTTTAGTCTTTTATTGTCCTGGTGGGAAGCAGGGCAGTATGCAGGCAGACATGGTGCTAGAGAAGGAGCTGAGAGTTCTTACATCTTGACTCACAGGCAATAGGAAGTGGTCTGAAACACTGGGTGACTTGAGCATATATGAGACCTCAAACCCCACCTCCACAGTGACACACTTCCTCCAACAAGCCACACCCACTCCACCAAAGCCACACCTCCTATTAGTGACACCCCCTTTGGGGGCTATTTTCTTTCAAACCCCCACATACATACATACATACATACATACACACACACACACACACACACACACACACACTACATATACATATACTTGCAAAAATATTTCCAGTCATAAAGGCTGGGAAATCTATGAACCATGTCCCCCTAAATATAATGGTTAACCTGGGAAAGGCTGTCCCAAGGATCTACTTCAGTGTTCTAGATTCTTTTTTTCCTTTCTTCCTTCTTCTGAGACAGGATCTCATGTAGCCCAGGCTAGCATCTAACTTGTTCTGTAGCCAAAGAGGACCTTGAACTCCTGTTCTTTCCACCCCTACCTGTGAGAGCTGGGAACATAGGCATGTGCCACCCTATAGCCTAGTGCTCCGGATTTCAACTGAAGATGTTTATTCATCAAAAATGCTGAACTACAGGATAAAATCTTTGAATCTTATCCTGCTAACTCAGCAGAAAAGAACCAGGAAAATTTTAATTCACACAGGAAGTGACAAGCAGCAAACACTAGCTCTGAGACTACACAGATGTTGGAATTATCTCACAAAGCAATGATTGTAAAAAAAAAATGCATCAACAAGCAAATATGAGCACTTATAATGGAGAGTCAGGGCTGGATAGAATCCAATGTCAATTCATGACGAATACTCCCCACCAGAAAGGAACATCTTCAATCTAGTGAGGATCACGGATAAAGTTTTGACAGCCGGACTTGCATTGGCCCAGTTGCAGGCTGGGACTCTTCACTCACCACAATTATTCCATACCCACAAGAAGTCTTAACCAGAAAGATAAAACAAGGAAACAAGAGGCATGCAGCTTGGAAATGGAGATGTAAAACTATCTCTAGTAACAGGTAACAAATGTGGTTGTTTTTGTAGAGGGTTTCAAGGAATCTGTGAGGGCAGCAAGATGGCAAAATGCAAAGTCCATACACAAAAGTCAATGTGCGTATAGATACCAACAACATCTAGTTAGAAGCAGAAAAAAAATTATGTGTGCGTGTAGATCAGAGGTCAACCTCAGATGTCATTCTTCTTTTTTCAAAAAGAGAAATGTTGGCCGGGTGGGTGGTGGGGCATAACTTTAAACCCACCTCTCAGGAGGCAGAGACAGGTGGATCTCTGTGCGTTCAAGGCCAGCCTGGTCTACGGAGTGAATTCCAGGACAGCCAGGGCTGTTACATAGAGACACCCTAGCTTGAAAAACCAAGAGATAGAGAGAGATAGAGATAAAGACATATATATATATATATATATATATAGAGAGAGAGAGAGAGAGAGAGAGAGAGAGATTTAATGGTAAAGCTTAGTACACTCCAGCACCAGGACTAGCACAGAGTTGAAGCAGCAGGGACAGCTGTGACCCCATGGATGGCAAAGAGGATGAGGAGGGTGATCAACAAACTGAAGAACCCCATGGCTTCAGACAAGGCAAAGCCCAGAATAGCATAGAACTGTTGTTTAAGA